TAATGAGTTGTGATACGCTACAATTGACGTGCCTTTCCTCCCGGGTATAGCCCTCGCTTACAGATAGTATTAGGCAGTCGATACATGGAATTCCATCATACAATGAGCCATCCTTTACTCTGTTTATTAACTCACATAGAAAGAAAAGGCAATACAAAAAGACAATGCAATAGTCCCGGGTAGCCAAAACAACGAGAATCCGGCGAAATACCGGTGAAGATGCCAGCATCTTCGTAAGCTTCGTATCTTCAAACTGGAACTATTAATATAATTCAGGAGGCATAGAGTTTTGTTGAAATCTTCTTTGATTGCACAGCGTCGCAGCCTTCATGTAATCAATACTGTTATGCTGCACTTCTGGGGTCATCTTGCTATAGTTGCTGCTCTTCCAAGAAATACTCTTGGACAATGAAAAGGAATACTGTATTATCGTCATCATGTATCCGTAATTCTGGAAGAATTCTACGTAAAAGACGGAAAATAAGAAATGTTGGGAGCCTCGGCTCGAAAATTAGGTTGTAGTGACCTATTTGTGAACGATCGACAACGCACTAGAAGTGCGCATAGATTCTAGAGGCAGGGTGCTCCTAAATTTAGAGAACATTGGATGAGTATGGAGACGGGAGGCTGTGTATTTTGCCCCTGCTGCTGTTCATTTAGTGGCCAGAACCTGTTTTCATACCCATGTTTAGTGCCAGGTATAAGGGTCTAGACACGGATTGCCTGGGTACGTCGGCACGGCCGATTGAAGTCTCAAGACTCTCAGCAATGCATCATTCCACCAGTTATGGGGCACCCTAGTTTATTAAGGGAGACCCTGGTTGTTGGCTGTGGGGAAAGCTCGTATTCCTTCGCCAAGCGGGCGATATGCGCAAGGGGGAAAGAATAAACAAGACCAATTATGGTGCAGCCCAGTCTGGTGTATTTATTTCCTCCAGTCGACATCCTGGATTCATCCCCATTCCATGGGGCAACTGCCAGCAACGATCGGCAGTTATGACGATGTAAGATGGAGATCAACACGACAAGAAATTACATATAAAATATCAGCTTCACCATCTCCAACAAGTTCTTATCTCACTCATCAACCTCATCAAACACTCCACTACTACTACAAACAACTATCACCAACACCACACCACCGCCACCAAACATCAACATGCAGTTCAAGACTCTTCTCGTTGCCGCTGGCGTTGCCTCCGCTGCCCCTAAGGCTACCATTCCCAAGAACTTCGAATTCCAAGGTCTTGCCCTCCGCTCTGCCTCCCCCATTCACTTCAACTACCTCCAGGCTTCCCAGGAGTCTTTCGAGCTGAAGCTCAAGGACCAGAAGGCCTCTTGCTACAGCAGCAAGGACAAGCCCCAAGAGGCCACTTTCCAGCTCTACGGTGACGAGCTCTGGCTCTACTCCGTCGGCAACCCCCGCCAGCAGGCCTACGTTGACTTCTCTGGCATGGGCCAGGGCAAGTTCGGTTTCACCACTGGTGCTCAGCCTGCGCCCAAGAACGCCTCCCGCAAGGGCTGGAAGGTCGACAAGGACGGTATGCTCACCTGCGACGGTTCCAGCTTCGTCGCCTGCCCCATGGGTGACAACCTCGAGAAGACCTCTTGGTCTGTCTGGGTCTACAACAGCATCGACAACCCCGGTGGCAACAAGAACTGCCTTCCTTTCTCCGTCAAGGCCGTCAAGGTTGAGAAGCCCATCCCCTGCTCTTACTCTGCCATCCAGCCCAAGGCTTAAGTTCTCTGGCTGTGATGGATAGCTTCTAGTATATATTTATTGTTACACCTTTACGATCATGCATGTTGTTGGATATAGACATAACGAGATACTTCTCAGCATATTAGCGTTTTGACGGGGTCGCAAAGCCTCATTTAATCACATACTCAATTCCGCTTAAGTCACTTACACATTGTAAACAACTTCGTACTGATTGCATTCCACCACTCCAACCTTTGAAGTCAAATTTGTAATGCCGCCTCGCGTTCTGTAGTACCAGTAATACCAGCCAGCAACTCCTCCCAAGTCGAGTCATCTAACCCTTCCAAGTCCAACACGGCATCTGTGTGTGTATTACCAGACCCGGTGCTCGACAGATAACCTCCCGAGCTTCCCATTTCCGACGAAGAGCATGGCACATCACAACCAATAGAAAAGTCCAGAGGGCCATGATTCTTCCCTCGTACCTCGTCATAGGTGGCGAACACGGCCCATATCATGTCCGAGAAGCCGAGCATGATGTCAGCCTCGTCACTCGTATTCTGTACCAAGGGTGACAAATTCTTGAACTTGGTCTGCAGGCGTCTTGCTTCACCTTCTAGATCTGCCGCTCTTTCTATGGTAGTTGCGTCATAGAGAGAAGTGCCGGGGTATGAGAAGCTTGCGTTGCTGAGAGCAATCCCGATATCCCTGAATATCTCGGGCCAGATCTTGCTAGCATTGGACAGGCATGAAAGGGTCCTGCAAATCTTGGCGGTCGTGTAAAAGGTAATGTACCACAACTCTTCATCCGGGTAGTCCATCAAAGTATCGTTCAGGGATTTGCAACTCCGCAGCAAGTTGAACATGATCGACATTCTTGTGCTTACAGAGAGTGATGGATTGCTGGTTGTAAACGAACTGACAATAGATGAATGGTCCCAGAAGTCATCATGCAATGAGACTTCGCCTATTAGCGTATCGAGTAGATGGAGCTCAATCTTGATCGAGACTTTGGCTTGTTAGCATTTGAAGTTAGTAAGCGTAGGGCAGAAACTTGAACTAACAGTTCTCTTGGAAAGCTGGCGGAATAGACGCTTTGAGTAGCGTTGATTCGTTACTTAGAGTTTGTAAAGCCATGGCGCTTATGAACTCGCCCTTGACACCCGTGTTCTCCAGATCATCGTAGCCAAATGTGTCACATATGCGTCGACTCAGTTCGTTTATACGGACTAAATGAGCAATGAGCTCATCACTGGCATGCTCTTTTCTTGCTGAAAGTATCTCCCAGCTTTGCTTGATATACCCAGTGTAAGGTATCGCACAACGTGTCCTAAACTTTGTAGAAACCCTACACAGTCAGCACTCTTCCGTCTGGTTCTAAGTCATCAAGATGCCTTACCAACTGGCCGTGCAGTATGTTCCAAGAAGAGCCCGCAGCTGATCTGCCGAACGAGCAGCCTTTCGTCCAGACGCTGTTTCATCCGGCCCGAGGTCTACTGTACGCCTTTTGTTGTCCGGATTCTGGTCAAGCCCCAAGTTCTGAACCAGTGATACACAAAGTTGTGCAAGCTGGACAATCTGTTGCTTCTCATAGCTGAAGAAGTACTGATACCAGGCGATATAAATCAGAAGGCCCTGTAGAAGTTCCAAGCTGCTTTCAGACTGCATCAAGACTCTTTGATGGGTTTGCATTCTGACTTCTTCTCCAATTTGCCGCTGAATGGTGCAGTTGTCTACTTTCATGGTTGCAATTATACACATGAAAAGGAACGGCTTTGCTGACTTGAGTGATGTGACAGTTGTGTCGGGTGAGATTGGAACAAAGGGAAAGTGTGGAACGGCTCGAGTGCGATAGTTGTCCAGCAGTATCTGTGCCTCGTCGAGAGTGATGAATCCATGATCGATGACATCCAAGCTTTGTTGTGGAGCGAAGCTGCGTGGTAGTGATGACCCAGGGAAACGGTCCACGCCAAGCATATCAATTTCGAGATCAAGTTCCGCAGTAGATAGCTGTGTAATGAACCCGCTCAATGGAGTTCCCTTGGCCCTTTCACTGAGCATAGTTAAAACCCTGTTCAATCGCTGTTCTAACAGCCTGGTACGACTAGCGACACAAGTTAATATCTAAACCAATCTCTGAGACATCACCAGGACGTACGAGGCGCTTGATGGGCTTTTTCGCTTCTCCACAACATTCAGATAAGTGCATCGCTTGCCAAGGCGATTGCAGCGCTGACACTCGTCAGCCGAGAGGGGAAGACATTTTGACTTCACCGATGTGCAGTTCACACAAGCTCTTCGTCTTACACCAACAACCTTTGATGAACTATCGGTCGGCATTTTCGTATATCGCAAGGAATGTATTACCACGAAACGATCTTCAGAGTTGGTTGCGAATTGCGAAAGACTCCTATCGGCAGCCGAGTCTCTATTTCGACCTATGAAGGTCGTTGGTGGCGCGGAATTTCCGTCGGTCGCGTTGACAAGCAAGGAGGTGTAGTATGACGTTTATTTGTATTATTTGCAGATTGATTTCCAAGGTTAGTGCCCAGAAATTGAATGCTGAGAGGTTACGGACGTAAGGCGGCTTGCAGAGTGACGTCTGTCAGCATTGAAAGGCCAATAAGCATATTTTTCCTGACCAACAAAGACGGCTGACGAAGGAACGATCACGTAATATCCTTGTTCAACTGAAAATGTGGCTGCGGCGGTGGCCATTTTCACGGCGACTGGCCAGGTCAATTGTTGTCAATATACAAAACAGAGATCCCGGAACCACAGGAACATTTGTACACCTCACGAGTTCCTAACAATGAGGCACCCTGTATTGGTGGGGTTTTGTTAAATGCGAGCGATGGTTTGGGCATCATGGACTGTGGTACTGGGCTAAGTGTGAATAGGCATTGATTCGAGACGAACAGGAAGATAGTTTCGAGATACCTGGGTTTACAGCTGAACACCAACTATTTGAGCCAGTTCTATCAAGCGACACACACTGCGCTAGGACAGCTATTCACTTGTTTTAGTAACACTAAACGAGTGGTTCAGATGCTGCTGTAAATAGACAGAATTGGTATTTATCGATGCTATTGGAATGCTTCATGCATGGATCACGATGGTATAGTACTCTGCAAGATACTTTGGAGAACACACCGGGAATTACTGGGAAGGGAAACTGCCTGCCAGCATTACTCAAAAAATATAGCTAGCTCGATTGTCAGGCAATAGCAAAACGAAAATAAATAGGATGTCGACTTGCTGGTATTGACAAAAAATGCCAAAAAAAGAGATGCTTCAATAGCAGCTACTGGTTTCGATCCAGTGACCTCCGGGTTATGAGCCCGGCTGAGGAGAGTTAGTACGAATTTGAACTCGTGTGAACGATTAAACATACCGCGCTTCCACTGCGCCAAGCTGCTTTCGCTTGAGCTTATGTAATAGTTCAATTACAATTAGACTATACCCCCTTGCAGCGTTGGGGCTTTGTGAGAGTGATGCCAGAAGAACGCCTATCCTTGACGTCACACCACCAACCACCACATCATTGCCAATAATTAATTGGTGCTGGTTAAACTACTGTCACGTCTTTGTCTTATATCACGCCACCTTTTCATTGAAACGGTTAAAAGTCCACGGCGTTTCCATTGATCACGTTTGCTTCAGGTGTTTCATTTATTTCGTTTGTTTCTTTGGCTTTGTCTTGGCGATGAAGCTAGGCTTCTGATACCCAGATCTGCGTCGAAATATCTCCCCAGACACGATCCTTGTCGGATCCACGGAGTTGAGGACCCGCGGACACGGTTGTCTGTGCTTTACTTTCTTTTTTTCTATCACCATCCTTCAAAGTCAAGGCGTACAATAGTGGTGGATGTTTCGGGAGCTTCGGAGTAGTGCGAGATGATGATTGGTAAAGACTAGAGGATGCAGCCTGGCTGAGTACCTGATCCATGTTTCACAAGCCATCCCCAGCCTTTGTCAAGTGAAGGGTGACGACAATTCCCTGGGGAAACCAAGGCCAAGAATCCTCGACATTGGTCGTGTCTTAGCACCCCCGCAGATCTAGCGCTTATATCAGACCACCACGTCACGTCAAATGATCTCCCAGGCTGTGATAGACGGCACTTTAATATTCCCCGAGCCCTACGTGCCATCCGTCGGAGCCGGCCATTGAAATATCGACACCTACCTACCTTCACCGTTATTCAGTGACTCATTTTGCCCTTTTTACCGTTTTACCATGCATCATAGCCACATTTTGTTTAGCTTTGCCTCTACTTTCCAAAACAGTTTATCGTTTACGCCTCAATAATCATGTTGGTCTCGACTAAACTGATGCGACGGTTTCGCAACTCGCCCGTGGGGAGAAACCTTTACAACATTTGGTTGTTTGTCTTTGCCCTCATCGTCTTTCTAATATTCGTATCGACCTATCTGGTGCAGGCCAAGACCATTAACATGCCTGACTGGACCAAAGATCTTCGCAAGTACGATGGCGAAGAATGGGATCGATATGCTTCCATATTGATCGTAGTCGTCTGCGTCTTGTTCACATTCACTCTTGTTACTGGCGTCGCTATTTTGCGATCTGGCCAATATTAGAGCTACCCAGCAAAGGCAGAATAGTAGCCTTTGACCCTCAAACCCTCCCTTCAGGCACACTTTAATCCAGCAACGTGGCCGCTACGTAAAGGGAGACGCCTCACCATGGCAACAGAAACAAAACATGGATGGAATGCGCATTTCGCGACAACGACCATCCATCTTGTTTCATCCTATCATTCCGCGTCACGTTCAGACGCGATATCATAAAAATACCACCAACGACCGAGTCACGTATTGCTACGAGCTGACACCATGGTCTCGCTAGTATCTCACATATCTATTTGGAGGAGGAGACCTCTTCTGGTCTAGGAAGTCACTTTTCTTCTGGGACTGTAGCTTGGTGTCGTGACGAGAGCCCACGATGAGATATGGTTCGCTGGGTGATGGAGAGCCGAGAGGAAGCTCAACGGAAGAAACACACGGATCGAGTTTTCAATCACGACGCGGTGGTATTTAAGCAAAGTACAGCATATGGCCAGTGGTGGAGATACATTACTGGCCTTTCAGCCTGAGAAGTTGAGATCGGCAAGCAGCTGGCGACCTTTCTTGTCGACCTTGTACATACCTCAACATCTTGGGGCAATGGATATATGAGGCATGTAGGATATTATGATGTGTATCATTTATGATAACGAATTTATGATCAACTTTATAAAGAATAATATTTCCTCCTTACTCCACTCCCGATTCCAGTAAAGTAAAAGTTCCACTCTCAGAATCAAGCTCAGCCAAGGCATCATAAGGCAGCGTCAACATCGGTACAGTATGCCCAATGTCTACGTTGAAGAGAATTGGGAACGCCTTAGACGCAAGCCGTCCCTCGCACAAAAGCCCCTTGATAATACCAGCATAAGTCTCCCTGTCCTCATCCGAGTCATAACCGTATGGTCTTCCTACAACCAGACCCGCCGCTTCTTCAAACACACCTTGGGCTATCAAGTCTGCAAATGCTGCCTGGACTCTGTGAGGAGGATTCCCACCCGAGCCGTCTTCATTCGTGGCCGTCTCAAGAAAAACGATTCGGCCGCGCCAGTCGGGAACGATGGCTGGGATGCCACCTAAGCGAGCGACAACAGTAAGGCAACCTCCAAATAACCTGCCCTGAGCTTTTCCAGGTCTCAACCACTGCCATTCACTTGTCTTGACGACTGCTGGAGGCTCTGTTGATGCTGCATCTTGGAAGAAAGATGCTCCTCTTGGTGCGTAGTAAAGTGATCGTGGAAGCTGACCTAGCGGCTCGGGAGATGCAATCGCGCGCAGCAGGTTATCCACACAAAACGAGAGTGGAGTATTCTTATTGTTGATATCGTTTGGTTCGCCAATCTCAGGAACAGCACCGGGGCCATAGAATGTGCGCAGGCCTGTCATGGCGTACAAGAACCAATGCAAGCCTGTGATATCTGAGTATCCAACCACGACTTTGGGGTTGGCACGAATTATCTCATGAAGTTCCTTGTCAGCAATTAGAGCAGGAAGAAGCTCTGTGAAAGTTGTGCCTCCGATGGTGGTGATAACGGCAGAGATGCTAGGGTCTGAGAAAGCTGCGCGGATTTCGGATAGTCGGTTCTCGATGCATGATTGGATTCCCTTGTCTTCGTTGAAGAATGTTTGAACTTGAAAGCCTTTGCTTGAGAGGACGGCTGAGGCTCGGTCTACCACAGCTGGGAGGGTGCTGTTGATCCGTTCTGATGGTGATATAAATGCAATCTTATCGCCTGGCACCAAGTGCTTTGCTCGGATAAGTGACGGCATGCTGTGTATTATTTTAATGCGAGGCAATGCTGATCAATGGTGTCTTAGAGATGAAATTCTCAGGCGTAGGCTTTGCGATATCACTCGAGACTTCAGAGTGCAAGTGGTGTGTTGGGATGATGATGCAAAAACGAGAGGGGCTAATGGTGAGGGTTTTATATCTCCACCAACCATTAACGTTATGTGACACATGGAATATAAGATACAGTCGACACAAGAAATTGACTGATATGGTGTTTATTTAGCCTGTATTAGAACATATTAATGACTAGGTATATTTATCAGCTAGTTGTAGATATCGCGCCCTTCGGATGTCCGAAAGGATTGTACGCAACAAAAGTTCCCAGGATCTTATCACACCAAAGATCCACATTAAAATTCCTTTCATGACGAGCTATCAGCATCGTGGTTCACGTTAAATCGTCACCCATTGTTTGTGTATCGACAATCGGAAACAACGACATTGTCGTGTCAAACGAGTCGAACCAAAGCATATTTGGGGAGATCCCCAGAAAAGCATCAGTCACGTCCCCAACATCAATCCCCGACTGCTCTCCTCCTTCCATGGTGAAGTCTTGTTGTTCACTCGACACCTCTTGGTTTGGTACTTGACCAGGCCCGGGTGTCTGAGGCTGCGTTTGAAGTCCCTCAGACGGCGCTATTCGGAAATTAATCTCTGGGCGATGAGACTCACGCAAGGGTGATTTTCCTATGGTATGAATACTACCAAAGAGACCATTAACTAAGTGGCCTTGTCGCTCCATCCGTAACCTGGCTCTGTTGTCCATGTAAATCTCGCATGCTCCTTGGAGATGATCTAGGATCATGAGATGGCGTTTGGCTACAGCATCGTGGCGGGCCAGATGCTCAAGAACGCTCCTCGCGGCGTGGAGGCTCTTTTCAAGCGGGAAAGAGTTGTCGAAATCGCCAAATATGGCGGCCCCGAGTACTAACCCAGACACGAACGCTGAATTTCCCACTATTGGTAAACGCTTTGGTATGGTGCCCACTTTGAGAAGAGGTTGCAGAAGGTCGACTGTCCGTACGGCTGATTCGAGACAGGAGTGGACGAGTACCTCGTTGGATGACGAGGACCGCTTGGTAGATGTGTTGGACGGCTGCTCTGCTTCTTCAACATGTTGAGAAACTGCCTTGTGTAGAAAAGGAAGTGATAGTAGCATAATACTCCAGTGTCCCGTCAATTTGAGGTGCATGAGACCGATATTTGGCTGTTCCTCGCCACTCTCGTCCCTGATCAGTTCCTCCTGTTCAATTCCATCAACAGCCAAACCTTCGCCACACTGCGAGGTCCATCTTCGGAGCTGCTTACTGATACGTTCCAGTATCTCAGGTGTGATCATTCTTTTGGCGTATACATCCGTAAGAATGGATTCGAAGATCATTGACAGGTCGTTACAAGCGGAGTAGTTTTGTGGGTTTGTTGTGTCGCGCAACTCGGACGTCGAAGGTGGTCGGCCAAGCGATGCGCTCATGAATAAGTCAAGAATCCGAATGCCTTTCCAAAGCTGCTCTCGCGCCCGTGCTTCTGTTGGGGAAAACAGGGAAGAAATATCATGACGATGCAATCCAATCGCATACGCAGCTCGCACGCCCATACCGAGGTACATGAAAGCTGCGTTCCGGCGAGATGCACCCAAGAGATACATCGCGATGAGGACTAACGCTTGAATGGTGACAATTCCTGGCTCTTCTATCAATGTCTCGACTGTCAAGTATCGAGCGTAGTTGAAGAAGGTGTCGGCCTGATCATCTTTGTCTTCTGGTCCAGTTTGCGCACCAATGGCAAACACAAGAAAATAGACAGAGCTCGCTGAATTGAAATTTTTTTGACCGTCTTCTATCCATTTGCGAATATCATGGTGAAGTTGTTTTTGGTCGAATAGTAGCAGCATGCAATTAGTCGATTGCATGTACCACTTCACGAGGTAATCGACTTCCTGTTCCGTTTGTTGTGGAGGCGGATTCTGAGCGCTTGATAGAATCCATCCTCGCCGTGTTTCAGGCGATGATTCGACGATTCCATGCCTCAGTGGATCGTCGACGA